CAGGTCGTTTGATTGAGGTGTGTTGGAATTTCTGCCTTTGTTCCTTCTGCTGTTTTCCTCAGGGCAGGAAAATCTAGTAAAACTGCCCTGTTTAAAATCAGGAAGTTCAAAGACAAATTGTCAATTTTAATTTAACATAGTTCCTTTTGAGAACTTTATAGTCTGTGGAGAAAGTAGACGTCTGGTGTGCAGCCAACAGGAAGAGGCAGTGTTCAGAAGACTTCAGAAATTATAATTTCAAACCAAAGAATCTCGAGTTAGATGTGTTATTGTATGCATATTGAAGTGTTTGTGTTAGTTTGTACCATCTGGTACAGAGTTACTGAATCGTGTACACCCCTGAGATTCAGGCTGAAACTGCACCAACTGTGGGAAACTGTCCCAACTAGAGTATAGCAGAAATAATGTTTCTGTTCGGTCATCTTTAACACTGAGTGCGAAATGGCATCAGCATTTTCTTTCAGGCTTGAAGAAGGCTAAATGAGACAGATAGGGAAGTCTTATCAAACCTTAGCCATCTCTGGGTGTGGTTTAGTGTGGGTGCTTTATAGGCAAGACTTGCTGTGCTGCAGTGTACTCTTCCTTCATTAAAAGTGATACTTGTAACAGAGCAGTTTGTATTAGCTAGTTGCAAGGCAGCCATCTGGCTGGCTACTGGCACATGGATAGCGTGTTCTTCTGTAGGCTGGAAGAACATACGGGAGGAGAGAAGGGTATGCACAAATTCCTTTTGACAAATCACTCAATGTAATTGAAAAGCTCCACATTTAAGTATTTAGGATTAAGACGATATGTTCTTTCCATTCCTTGCTTTTACTCCTCTGCTGTGAGTCACTCCTAAAATATACCAATATGACTATTTCTGACAGCTGTATTAGCACAGCTGAGGAGAGGGGAGAATTACGGTAGGAGGGCAACAGAGATAAGAGTGGAAATGGGAGCTTCTTAAGTGTGCTTCCATATTACTATTATGAAAGTAAGGCCTAAAATCAGATGTGTGAAGTCAGGACTGCGCAGATTTTGTCTTTGTCCGCAAATGATCATTTTTTCAATGAGTGGAGGATGAATTAGTAGCTGCTTAGCTCCTAAAGGCAGAATTTTGTTTTGAACAAGACGTTTGTTACTGGGATCTTCAGAACTCTGGTTACTTGCCTCAGAATCAAATGGAGAAGCCCTAAAATTTAGACTAGGTGTTCAGCCCTTTGAGATGTGTGCCTTTGAGGCTTCTGAGTATTATTCAGCTGCAGGTTCCTCAGGGTTTTGGGAGAGGGAGTGCTGATTAAGTTGGTATTGTCATTAAAGTGCTTACCAAACTATGCCTTTAATGGGTCTGAGCTGCTGAATCAGTTTATGGAAGTTATAAAGAACCGAAAAACTTAAGAACTCGTGCATGATTTTCATTTCAGCACGAGATACTGTAGGAGTGGAAATTCTGCAAAATACTTCAATTATGCTTTTTTGGAAGCAGAATTTTATCAAGTATTTCAGGATAAAATATAGGATGAATTTAATGCAATAAATGTGAGATATTCCAGTCAGTTTATTTTTAACACTAAAAACTTTTTTATATCAGTGTAGTCTAATACTAATGTGCTCTCAAAAAATGTGTAGGTCAAACCCCATATTTTTCCCCTCCCCCCCTACTAGGAAGGGTGAGTTGAGATTTTTCAGGAGAAGCAGAAATAAGTGGTATGCTGACTTTTGGTGTCTAACTAGCTTAAATATCTGCTCTTTTCTGAATATGCCATCTCAAGATGAATATGAAACAACCTGTTTTGATAATTAGCAAACAGCTAGGAATGGAACAAATGTATTAATATTTTACGTGACTGATACCTTGAAATGTTTTATTGATATGTAGGTCTGTGCTATCCTATGAGTTTGTGTATTAACTGTCTGTGACTTGCCACAGAGTAATCTTGTGAGAAAATATTTTCAGGAAATCACTTTCTATGTCAGAACTCTAATTTGAAACATAATTTTGCTTATAGGCAGTCAGATTTTATTAATGAATGAACATATTCTTTGATTGTAAGTTTAAGGTATGAGGCTATCATTTTGAGGTATAAATCTGTGGAAGGCTTTTGTTCACTCTAGTAAATATAACTGCTGTCATAGCAAGAACAGAGCATCTTCACTTACAGATGTAAACAAATGTTAACACTAAGAAACCAACTTCACCAGAACACTGACAACACGGGAAGATTCTTTCCTGTAACTCCCTTAAACCGTAGCACAAAGGAACTGTGCAAGCTAATGTGATACAGAAGGGCTGTGTTTTTCCAGTCAGCTACATTTACTAATGAGTAGAGGGTGAAGCTGAATCTCTTTACAGTTGTGTGCTCATGCAATGACAAGCATATTACGTTACTACTTCTGTGAATAAGATCTGAAAAATGCTTATGGGGAGTGCTGTTGGCGTTGAAACTTAAATTTTTAAATCCTGTGGAAATACAGAGTCATCAGCAGTCATTCGTGTGCAGATTACTGGCACAAACATCAAGCTTCGTTATTCAACGAAGTAACTTAGGAAATTTTACTACCAGAATGAAGCAGTATATTTTGGTTCTGTTCTTACCTTTCTTAAATGGTTTGATTTTTAAATGCCTTTCATTAAAGATTAGCCTGTTTTCTCATGAGCATTTAGAAGTATTAATGTTTGGATCCTGTTGAAAAAGCCAACAGGAACCACTTTTATTCTTTTGATTAATTCTGTATTGTCCATATTTAGTGCTACTACTGTGCATTCTTGAAGTAGGTTGTGTTTAGCAATGTTTTGAAAGTTGAAACAAAATTTGGCAAATCACTTGAGTGTTTTGTGATGAATTTGTGGTGTTGATATTCAAAGGTCTTCATTAGATGCCTTTGAACTTCTGATTTCATCAGAAGTTTCATCATAAAGCACTTTATGGAGGCAGCATCTCATGCTGTCTTCAGATTTATATGGATTCCTTCACTATCTTGACAAAATGATGACTTAATGTTCTCCCAAGTTTAAGGTGTCTTGGTAGACTGTACCTGCTAGTGTTTGAAAAGCAGATGCAGAAACTTGGTTTGTTCAGCAGAAGGGCTTCCATTAATATTGGCCTTCAAAGGTATTTCTGCTTCAAGTTTGTGCTTCTGCGAGTTCCACCAAAAATAGAGATTGGCTTTAGGTAGTATTATAGATGGAGCAGAAATTAGGAATAAAACTGATTGAGGACAAAGAACAGGTTAAGCTTGAATATTTATTTTGGTCAGACTTGTCCATGTTTACTTGGCCAGTATTCTGAAAACAGCAAGTTTGCTTTATTTCAGAGAAATAGCCTGCCTTTTAACCACATAGCCTCCCCTTTCATAGGGCAGCATGAGTGCACTGTCTCTTATGTAATCTATTTCCTTTAAAAGATGAGAATTTCTGCTTCTGTGTTCTTTCTGCAACTCGGCAATGATGGACAGAATTCCATAGTTTCTCAAGCAGACATGGATCAGCTTGTCTTGAGTTTAATGATTTGTAAATATGATTTTTTTAAGTTTAAAAATTACTTGTTTTCAGCATATCAAAGTTCAGTCTCACTGAACAGCATATCTTACCTTTTTGGTAGAAAATAGTGCAGAGATTCAATTGCTATATCAACACTGGCCTGCTTTTCCAAAGGCTTAAAAATAGCTTTTTGTGATATAAAAGCCATGAACACAGACTACTACAAAGCAAATGTTCCTTAAATATATTTTAGCCATATGGCACTGTGTGAAAGTCTGTCCTTCAAATGAGGAGCTGCAGTACTGAAGAAAACTTTGAGACCTTTGGGACAAAAGTGTGGAAATCCTATTTTAGGCAATAGAAAGCTTTATGTTGAGTGTAGCCAGTTGCTGTTAGTGAAGTTTCTGACTTCATGAAGTTTTCTGAAAAATTAGCATACTCAAATATTTCTTTTTGTAAACAGTTGTCCCAAACACTAGGAATTCATTTAATACTTTAACTTATGTATTGATGTACACACAAGGGAATGGATGGTGTGAGAGAATGATAGTGAACGGGAGCTCTCATAAATTGGATTCTAGATTTAAGTAGTTACCTAAAAACTAAGTGGTGACTTCCAAATGATACCTACCTGTGTCTCATCTTACCTGTCCTGGTGAGTAAAGACTTTCAATGGAAGAGATGGCTTTTGAGAACCAACCTCTTTTCTTTGCCCTGAGGCTGACAGTTACCATCAGTTTAGAACTGCTGGCTCAACTGTTTGTGCAGGAGCTATCTAACCTGTTTCGGGCAGATGCTGTTGAGTGGATCCAGATACTTTACGTAGTAGGCTTTTGTTTGCCCTGCTTTCAACGTATTTCAGTCAAGAGCGCTCTTATGACAAGCTTTGCTAACAAATACAAGTGGATGGAAGGTCTGGAGAGTTGGCAGTAAGCTCTTGAGAACTATACCTGGAAAAGAAAAATCTTTGAAGAGTAACTTGGCGCTTTCTTACATAACTCATCTTTGGCAGGATTAGTGTTGGACAAACATGTACTGTTGTTATCTGTAGTGCTTGGCCTCTGGTTTGTACAGGACATGCTTTAATCATCACTTGTTTGGGGTTGATGTACATAACTGTTTTGAATTAGGTGAACTAGCCTCATTTGTGATAATCTAGACTTTTAATTTTGTAGCTTCTGCTTTCATAGTTCAGAGAATTATCTTCTCTTCTGTTTGAACAGCAACTGCTTAACAACAAAAGCTTAGGAAAGCCAGGAATTGTCCAGTTCCACTGTAGAGGCAGAATTACACATGACAGTGTGCCATCATTGTTACTGAAGTGCCAGAGATCTCTTGCTCTGAGTATTTCAAAAATCTGAAATCTATAGATTTCAATCTGTTTTGTAGTTTGTCCTTTTATCTGGTGATCCCTCTCTTCTCACTAGAGGCAATCTAAAGAAGAATGAGGATTATCTTTGATTTCTTGTTTGTTTGTGCTAGTGGTGCTAAGACTGCAGTTTTTCTTCTAAGTGCAGTTGCAGAGTAGCTACATACTTAGTGTAATTTATACTGTTTTTGTGAATATCTACACAATGGGCAGTGTCTTCCACTGAGACTAATAGTGATGCAGTACTGTGATTTCACTGGTTACCAAGCGAAATATTCTGTTGCAAAAAGGCTAGCTGACTCTTACGATGTGAAGTACATACTTGTTAATGGCTAAGTACTTAGTACTTATCTAATGCTTTCCAAGTACTAAGCATTAATCAGGAGTATTGGGGGGGGGAGGGGAGGGAAAGAATTGCTGTAGCCAGGAGCAGGGTTTCTTTAGTTGCGTTAATACATTTTAAATTTGTCTCAAGCAACATGTAGCTGTTTGGATCATGTATACGTGCTTGCGTTCTTCGGTTAAATCATGGGTTAATTATTATCATCAAAGATGCTAATGACTCCTGTCTTTCAGTTTACTTTCAGAGCTTTATCTCTTCTTAGCTACTGCTCTTACAATCATTTAAATCATGCAATACTGTGATCAAATTTGACTGTAGACAAGCTTTCCATCAGTAATGTATTTAAAATGGAATCACTATTAGCACCGCTTACTGTGATTTCCTTGATTTTTCCCATTTGAAGGATCAATTCCTGAATTTCATATGATTTTGTCAGACTTATTAGACTAAACTTGACATAAAAACTGGTTTTTAGCTGCTCATTTTAGCTGCTTAACGGTTTCCAAGAACGAGGTGAAGGAAAAGGTCGTGTAAAACATAGCTGAAAATTTTCCTTAGTGGTGTCTCCATGCTTTCAAGTGGAACATAAAAATGAAAGAAGCATCATTCTCTTGTTCCTTTGAATGTAATGGTTAGAACATGCATCTTGTCAGATTTTCTCCTCTTTATTTGGAAGCTTCTGAGGGCTAGCAGCTAATAGTCCCTGAAACTGTCCTTAAACATGTTTTAGGCATTTGGCATCCACCTCTGATCCGACTGAATGCATAGTCTCTTCAATCCCTACACTTCATCAGACTAAGAATGTGCAGTTTCTGCAGGTTCCTAAACCTCGTTCAGTTGAGGACTGTAGAACTGAAATGGGGTAAAAAGTAATGGTCGCATTGTACCCTGCTAAGAATTATGAGAGGGTATGGAGTCATCTTTCTCTCACCCTATGCTTTCTTGGTGACTGTGTAGCCTAACCAGTAAAGAGGGAATTTGACTTCTGAACTCAGTGTGAAAAAGCTTGAATCAGGTAAAGGAGCAAATTTGTTCGTAGAATTTGAGGCTGAAGAAGATGGGAAGAGGCAAGGCAAAGAAAACCGTCAGTTAAGAGGTTAAGATGAGGTAGGCACAGGCTGGGATTGGATAAAGAAGAAAATTGTTTGAGAGAGTGGGATAGTCTCAAAAGAAAGCAGGAGGGTTAAACTGTCAGTCCTCTGTTCCTCCCCAAACAATCTGACAAATGAATGGCTCTAGAGAAGTATTGGAACAAGAAGCCAAGGTGGGTGTGGAGCAGGCTGAGAATGACTGAAAAAGTGGAGGAGGAGGAGGTTGGCTGCAAACTTGCTAAGATGGAGGATCAAGTCAGATTAAGAAACAGAGAAGCTGAACTGAGCAGTCTGTAGTGGAGTCTGGGACTAGCTGGCTGAGGAGAACGGTGCAGACCGTGGAGCTGTGTTTGGGGAAGTCGTTGTTTGGGTGACAGACAGCAGTTGTACAAATTCTGCCTGGATTGGAGTGTGCAGCAGCCACTCTTGGCAGGACCTTGCCAGAGCACTGACTCTTAAAAACTTTAGCCCTGTTAGTGTTCTGTGATTATCAACCTGAAGCAGTCTGATTACTTTCAGGTACTCAACCCCTTTTGATAAATAAGCAGTTGTGAACATTTGGTAAAGTTAACTTTTTTGATTTGTAAACTTAGATTTGCACCAACTTTGCAAACTGCTTTCACAATGTGCATTATGATAATCAATAAATAGACCCCCCCCATCAATAGTGTCTTTACTACCCTGTGATATCTATTGCTCTAGTTGAGCAGTGTTCAGTTATTTATTGCTTATGCTTACTTCACAATGTAACAGTCTCTGTTCCCGTTCACTACTGAAATGCTGTTATGAAGCTAGAAGTTACTACTTTAGAGGTAATACTTGCGAATGTTGACTAATCTTCAAAACATGCCTGTTACCAGAAACTTCTGGTACAGATTGAGAGTGAAGACACAGATTAAGAATGCTCAGTAACTTTGGTTGCCTGTTTTCAGGTATCCTGAACTAGATTGTATTTTTTTCCTTAAATTTTATAGATTATTTTTATTTAAACCTATGACTGGGTAGAAAGATGAAACAGATTTTTGGCATTTGAGAATTTCATGTAGTGACTGCTCCAAGTCTGTGATCAGAAGATACTGTTTCACATGCTTTCTTTGCTAAATATTTAGCTACCTCTTCACTTCTGAAAATTATTACTTGATATTTTTTTCCTTTCACAGAATCTGAAGAAGAAACTGCTCAAATCATTGAGACAAAGCAGATAGATAACCAAGCCCCAAGTCCTGAGCAGCTAAATGATAAGTTAGCTGAAGAAGCTGAAAAAGAGGAAGCAGAAAATGAAATGGAGTTTTCAGCTGTTGAAACAGATTCTGCTCTTTCAGCTGAACAGAGTGAAGAATCCTTAATGAAAGCAGAATAAAATACTTCAAGTGCCTTCTGTAGCTAGTTCTTTTAGCTTTGTTCATGCCTGTTGTTACTATTCAGGTGAGCGTTTTTAATGGTACCACTCAAATGTTGCTTGAGCTTGAACTGCCTCACTGCCACAGTATGTCAAAGCTATGTGTAAAAAGTATTGTAAATTAAGCATGTCTTTAAATGAGTTAACACACAGCAGAATGTATAGTCGTTTCAAGTCTAACAGTTGTAGCCATTGTTCAATTTTGCATACTTAAACTAAAAAGTACAAGTTTAATTAGGGGTGACCTATAATTTGATATCCCTCTAGCTGTCAAACAAAGAACGATTATTGGCAGCAACTGACCTAGTTTGGTCTAGTGAACTTAAGATATTTTTTAATGTTTTCCTTGCTAAAATGGATTGACTACATTTTAAATACACAGATGTTTACAAGCTGAAGTGTCATCTGACATTTGACTTAAGCATATGGAAAATGTCATTACATTGCTGTCAATGTTATTCATTGTCTAACTTCTTGACAGAATTCAGTTAAGTGGCACTCCGATAAATGGTATTTCCTTTGGTGGTATTTGCATTGCAGATGAACCAGAGACACACATACAAAACTGTTTTTGTGTTTACATAAAATATAGGAAGTCTCTGCACTTGATTGTACTTGAATACAAAGCACTATTTATACCTGTACAATAATGACAAGATAAGTGAATTTTGTGCCTTTGTGTATTTTGTTAAAGGAAAATAAAGACATCTAGCAGCAATATTTGCTTTGTGATTCCTAGAGCTTCAGAGAACTTCTAATTTGCTGTATGCAACTATGCTACAGTTGCTTTGAGGAAATTAAGAATGCGATGGCTTGCAAAGAGCATATATATATGTATATATATAAGTTAAGATGGCTTTAGCAAAACTGAAATAGATTGTTCATCAATAGGGGAGTATACATGCAGTTATCAAAATATTTTTCCAACTGTGCCTAAAACCTAATTCTGTTTTTGGATAACATTACAATGAATACATGCTGTTGGATTACTGCACCTATACTTTTTAATCATATAAATGTTTAAAGCTAAGCACACTTATGCAAGTTCAGATAAATATAACAGTTGAACCTGGACCAGAAGTCTTCTGGTGACTGAAGTGAGGCACCTAAATAAATCAAACTGATTTTTTTTCATATAGCTGCTGACTGTTTGTAGCTCAATTTACTTACTAGCAGTTGTGATAAAGCCTTTATCATGTCTATAATGCCTTCCATGCACTTCACTCTATGGAGGGAGAGGAAGACTTCTAAACACACTTTTGAAAAACTGGTTTTACAATATAAAGGCAGCAAAACCTTAGTAATGCAAATGCCCTCTGCAAGTAGTATGTTTCTAAATACGACCTCAGATTGCATATCTGAATGAGACGCAAGTTCTTACTGGAACAGCAGTAATTAGTTTCTCTTTTCCAATATGTGCTTTATTTTCTGGTTCTTTTGGGTTAATTTAAAAGCTTAGGCCTCAGGCTCAAGTTTAGGAGAAGGCCTGTATTTAGATAAAGAAAAAAAGGATTTTTTGTTTTTGTTCACTAGTTAAATTGCAATTCATATTTTAATTAGTAGTCTTAATAGACAAAGTGCAGGCAAATGATTAAAAGAGTACTTGTAGATGTTTAGTTGTGTGATATACGGAAGAATTAGTAAAAACAGGTAACAATCTCACGTATGACTCTGTTTGGAATCTGAAGAAAACAGTCCCTTTTCCGAACATTGTATTATGTGCTTTTCTCGTACTCTGAGAGAAAGTGATAGGAGAATATGCTTTTTGTAATTTTTTTAAAAAGTGTGCATCTTCTATCCTGAAACTTCTGTAAAACAAAATATTGGAAATAATTTTGAAAGGTGATAATACTTATACATTTGTATAAGTATTTCAAATATTAAACTGGTGATGCTCAAAATAGAGATTATCTGTTTAAAGGCTCTTTTACTATTTTGTGTTTTTTTTTTTTTAAAAAAAAATCAACCCAGTAAGTTATTGGATGCACTTATCTTCATAGTGCTGAACACAGATAAAATATATTGTAGGATCCTCATTAGGGATATTTCAATGATGCATGAATTACTGTCACTTCAGTGGCTGACATTACTCTAGGCTTGTGTATTAACTTCTTTTAAAAATTGTATTTTGTGTCTGTAGAGTATTCTAGGTCTTTCCCTTGAAAAGCAGTTATCAGGCTGTATACATATCTATTGAGTAGACTGAGAAAAGAATCTGATGTTAACTGTTTATTAAATTTTTATTTTTACTGGAAGATACGTATTTCCAGATAATCTCCTTTTGTCAAGGGAATTTACTTTCTGCTATGTCAAATCTTATGTTGTTAGGAATCTGAATTCTTTTTGAAAGAGAAGAATTGATATTTTGCATGGGATGGCTGGGGGCAAGCATTATTTCTCCTAACATTGCTCCCGACATGCTTAAATGTGACATTAGCAACTTGCAACAGGAATGATTGATACTTTGTATTTATTATGTCACTGAAGAATCAGGTAGAGACTGTCAGCCTGACAGGAAAACAAATACTTGCTTAAATGCATGAAACCTAGATTTATGAGAACTAAGACCACCTAGCATTTTTGAGGAGGGGAAGAATAAGCGCGCCTTAAGCACATGAAAGGTTTTCCTCAGAGGCTTTCATATAGAAAAAGCTGCAAGGATAGTGCTTCCAAGCAATCATTCCTACTAACTGCTTCAGAAGGCTTAGATGTTAAGGAGGATGTCTTGGTATTATTTAACTTTAATTTTTCAAGGGATTAAAACAGCTGTAATAAGTGAGGGTAGAGAGGTAGTTAATCTGTAAGTGAATTCAGGCTTGGGGAGTTGGCAATGATAGAAATGGACTCTGGGCTTTCCTCACTTTATAGTAAGATTTCACATGAACACATGTTGCCGAGTATGTATGCCTCAGTCCTGATACGAAAGTGAAAAAGATTCTGTTTCTGGGGCAGTTCTTAGCATCTGTCTTCTGTAAAAGTGGCAATAGTAAGATGCTGGCCCAGCAGAAACTGGACTGGAATCTGTAAATATCTTGCAGTGAACAGCAGTTTAGACTTTGTGTAACATGACTTGATCATGTTTTTGTAGCTCTGAGGAGTACTTGAAGTAGTTGAAAGAGGAGTATTTAGAATTAAAAAGGTACTGCAGTTGTCAGTGATATTTATTCCAATTTAAACTGACTCTCAAAGATGAGAAAGATGGAAGAAAGTGCGTGTGGGGAAATGTAAAAAATCAGATAGCCCCATATTTTGTTGTCTTCTGACTTTCCAATATGTATTTGAATACATTACTTTGAATACTTTCAAAAGTACTTAAAAGCGTAGTCCTGTGAAAGATGTCACTTAGTTGTGAAAGATGTTGCAGAAGCCCCTTTATTACTGCGGCCTGGAGGAGGAGAAAAATCTTGAACTGGAGTAATAAAGTAGTCCTTAAGAAGCTTGTTGTTGCTGCATTTTTATTGCTTCTGAGACACAGTGATCTAGAAATAATTACAAGAGATTTCGTCTTACTCAAATGTAGATTATATATTTGAGAGGAATTACCTAGGCTATGTAGAATCTGTCATAAAAGACAAATGAGTGTTCCAGTTCAGAATAAACTGAAATGAGTTGGTCAAATTTAAGAACGCTTAAGACTGGAGATGAGAGAGAATGCCACTTAAAGAGAACAGAGTTATTTTGGTCAGCAAGTTGGTTACCCTTGGTCATTTTGACATAAGTGGATCATGTAGTGGAGTCTCAGTATGCGTTTTCTGAAAGCTGTTCAGTCTATAAGCAGAAAAAGCAGAAGGTCATGGGAAAAGGAACCAAAGCTGATGTTGACTTAATGAGTTGGGCTAGAAGTTATCAAAACAACATAACTAGGGGCATACATGATTGCCTCAAAGGCAAAAACAAGAAGATTCAACCACATTTGGTACAGAAGTGGAATCTAATATATAATTTAAGAAAAGCATGACAAGGTGAAATTGATGGAAAAATGGTATTTCCTTCTGACAGGATAGAAGGACAAGGACTTGATCAAAGCAGATAAGGAAGGGAAGACATGAAAAGACCCCTTTTCTACCAAAAAAAAAAAAAACCAAAACTTAAAAAAACCAAACAAAACCAAAACACAGGCTTGGTATGTAATCCAGGTTAGTATTTTCTTATATCAGAAATACTAAATATGCATTTGCCATTAACAAAAAATGACATTGGAGAAATGTGGTTGCTTTTTCAGAATTAATTCTGGAATAAGTGAGTGATAAGGATAAGTTCATAGATTAAGACTGTCTAGCTATTACTAGAGATAACAGTAGCAACGTTGCTCTTTTAAATCTCTTATGCTTAAAAAGAAGAGACCTTTTTATTTCTAGGATTAGTTATGCTGTAATAGTCATAACTTTTTAAAATAAGTTACTAACCTTGAAAGGATAGAAGTTTCTCCTTATTTCTTGCCTATAGTTCTCAGACTGTAGTTTCTTAGCAATATTTGGTGCACAGTTGCGGATCTGTGGTGATAGGTGAGTTGAGTAGGATGGAAGAAATTGTTCATTGTTGAATAATTAAGGCTGTTATTAAAAATGAGTCTTAATGTTTATAAAGTTTGAATATATTCAATACTGGAGTCCTGCATATACCTTATAAATAAGCTACTTCTGAGTGGAGCTTTTGTTAGGTCTTCCATAATCAGGAAGACAACCGGAATAAGGAATGACCTTTCTGTAAATGTTTCAACAGAACATTAACCCTGAAGATTCATTTCAATGTTGCTGTTGGCAGACCATCGTTTGGTCTGTATGCTAACTGTCCTCAAGCAAAATCTTTCAGCCCTCACTTTCTTCCAGGTCTCACTGCTTGTTTTTTATATCTCCAAGATACTCTTTTTTGTCCAGTCACGTGATTAAAACTTCAGTGTCTCAGATCTCACTACCTCATTTTTCAATTAATTTCTTGAACTAATAAATGCAAACCTGTCCTGATTTTTGGCAAAGTTAGCCTCTGAAGTTTAAGCATGTAGTACATAGAAGACTAGCATTGATATACCCTTTAAATAAATGGAAGGGGATAGTTATAAGTACATGAGGTGCATAAACACTAGGAAGAGAGGAAGTCATCCATGAATAAACTCAAACGGGAAGTTAGAAAGTTCCCAATGATTTGGCCAAGTAAATTGCCGGAAGGCATTAGTTTAAAAATAGTTTGATAGGAGTGAGCAGACAATATGAGATTAGTCTCTGTGACCAGTGAATTCCTTCTAATGTGTGCCTCTTTCCTGTGTTCTTTCACTTAAGAAGGTATTAAGCAGTGGGATCTATGTGGTGGTTCATGGAAGGGTTTTTTTAAACTGTTATCAGAAAGCTTTGCGTCACTGAAAGGAAGATGTTTGCAGAAATTTTGATAGTTATCAATCTATAGCAGGGCTCTGCACTTCTAGGATTAGTGAAAACGTAACTATCTACTTTGTAAAACAAATAATTAACCATCAAAGACTGGGAGAAACGTTTCTCTAATTCTTACCTATAATTCTTGAGCTGTAGTTTCTTTGTGGTATTGGATGTGCAGTTGTGGATCTGTGGTGTTGGATGAGTGAGTAGGATAGATTGTAGTCTTGAGGTGAAGTTCTCGGTTTTCAAGTTTGTGGAGGCTGAAAAGGAGGAATTGCAACTAACTTTTAATGCTAGTGTTCCTACTGGCCTGATTGACATAGGACTATTAGCTTCCAGGTCTTGGTGTGTAATAACATATCACAACTTCTTTTGGAGGAAATCTTCCATCAGAAGTGGTCTGTAAATTACATAGTCATGAATTTATATCTAGTAGTATGAAGTTAAATGTACTTCATGCTCTCAATCTTGGCTCTTCAGAGGGAAAAACTGGCATTCTGAGTAGGTAGGAATTGTTTGGCACTTGGTCTTTTGAGGGAGGGTGTTTATGCAACAAATGGAACGGGTTATAGTAGCTTTTAACAATAAAAAGTGCTGCCCTGCAGTACTTAAAAAAAAAAAAAAAATTCCCATAAGATCATGAGTTTCAAGGAATTTGGCTTCTCTTCACCATTGCTTTTGATTTGTGAACCTCTCTGGGGTCCTGTTAGGTTATATTCAATCTTTTTTCTGCAAGAATAAGACCTAGAGATGTGTATGATGGGCAGGCTAGAGAGAAGGGTTTTAAAATTGAACATATTGATTATACAATAATTTGCTCCCAAACCGTGGGGTTTTGAGATTAAAGCAAGCTCTTAAGATTCTTGATAGATTATCTGACTTGGCAACAGTGAAAAATCTAAAGCACTGAATCATGATGTCACCCTTTCAAGGTTGCATAAAATCAGTTTGATCATGACTTAATTTCTACATAGAAGGGAGGTCCCCACTATATTCTCATAGTACTAGTATTTCTCACTATTGTCACCAAGAACAAACATACTTCAGGGCTGCTTCTGTACCTGCCTAGCATTAGGCTACTGGGCATTCTCAGTAAACAATTCCTAATATTTTTCAGCAGTGTCTCATAAGCCTTTTCCACTGTGAAATCATAATGCATTCTCTTCTCATTGCGTGACAAGAATAATTTGCAAAAGGAAGATTGCAACAGTTAGAAATACATGCAGCAAAATCTTAATCAGATATAGGAGAAAACGATGAGTGCAAATACTGGAGATCTGACAATTGGGGTATTC